ATTGATAAATCATTGGAATAATTCACTTCGCTTCCTTTTTAATTTGCTTAGAACAGATAACAAGCGTTATCATTATTATTCTCATTGAAGAAGATCATTTTTTCCTGCTAAGATATGTAAAATTCCTTTTAACTTTGTATGCATTGGAAAATTTCATTTGAAACTACTCCATTTTATCTAATAATTGATGGAAGTACAAATGTAGTTCAGCAAACTTACTGAGATAAGGGCAAAAAAATCAGTTCTTTGAAACAAATTAATGCAAATGAAATTGGGAAAAATGGAGCAATATAACGAAAAATGAAGTATACTAAATGTGTTGCTCCAATTGGGTTTCAGATTAATTAGCTAGCTCACTTTTGGTTGCAAAACGGTCCTATTCTCCAGAATTCGAGATCTTTTTCGACAAATTTAGAAATTCATTGATTGGCTGTATAATCTGTGTAAATCTCATAGAATTTTTACCTATTTCATTTATCAGCATTAAAATTTATGAAGGCGTAACCGTGGGACTGAAAGCATTAAGTGAAAATTCAAAGTCAATTTCTACCTTGTACCTTCTACTGAAATAAAAAATTGAAATATTTCAGTGAAAAATTAGTGTATTTTGATATGGAAATAACTAAGTAAAAGAGAGGCATTCTACTGACTACAGCAATACTGAAAATGAGGATTATAATATGCATTTTCAAAGGATATTGTTTTAAAGGTGAAAATAATAATTTAATTATAGACTCATGATCATAATTCGGTTTTCATTCTCGATTTCTTAAATGAAACATTCCGAAATCGGTGCTTTTTAATGCACTTTAAATATTGGAAATAATAAGTTTTGGTTTAATAAATTAGCTTTGTTTTAGATTTATTTAGTTTTAGATTAAAGCAATTGGTGGAATGTTCTTATGAGGAATAAGTCGAAAATGTTTGACAGATTAAGCATGAATTTCTATTTTAAAATATGTTGAATTCTTCCACTTAACGCCTTGTACGAAACACATTTATTTTCTTTAAATTCGTGTAAAAATTCGTGAATTAAAAGTGAATTAACGACTAAATTTTTTAACTTTCCCTGGGCGTCTTAGCTAATATCATTAAAATAGCATGTTCCTTAGACGATTTTTATTGTGGCTGATAGCTCTAATTAACTTCACTGGTTCATTACTTCAATTAGCTATCCTTTTAATATAGCCATAACAAATAAACTTCTTTGATATAACTTAAATTTAAATTTTAAAAAAAAATAAAGATGAACAAACAGGGGAAGACTGTGCACAGTGCGTGAAAAAAAACGAAAGTAAGTAAGCAATTTACTGAAATGTTTGAGGCTCAAATACGAGGATTACCACCTTAAAACAACGTCCAATTTACTCCATTGGTGCATGGAAAGTGTTTTTACGATAAAAAATAAATAAATAAACTGAGTCTAGATTGTTCCAGGAAAACGAGCATCTGTGGAATGCGTGCAACTGCATTCCTTTTGCCTTACATTGAAAGCCTTATAAAATAACTTAATTTCATTTACTAATTATTAAATCTAATGAGTGCTATTGCACTGCTCATCCCTTTAGCAGGAGAAAAAATAACTCACGACAATGTAAACAACTTGTCTAAATTTGTTTGAACAGGCTGTTCTATAACTACGACTCTTGCGCATTGTCTTAAAACAATAAGTAAATAATTGAAATTTGGCAAATAAATTCAAAAGTAATCCAAACAAGATTAATAAATAAGATCCGGATTTTGAGGGTAGAGCACTCTCAAACACTGGATGATACAGTTGCAAACATGAGAAATGATTTTAGGTGCGCCAAGTGAGAGATCGTGAATTTTGAATTTGAAGGCGTTAGGTCATAGCAAATACAAATGAAGAAAAATAGGGAGTACTCAACGTCAAATATGTCCAACTATTTAGTATCCTTGCTGTTATTCTTCCTCCCTCCACCCCACCCCACCCCCCACCAACTGTTTCTTCCTTACTTAGACTAGTGTAAAACTAGTCTGAATGAGAAAAGTTCATTTTATTGCCATCAGTAGTAAAGGATAATAAAATACAATACAACTTTCTATTGTGAAGTGGCATTTAAAAACAGGAAACCGACTAGCGGTCCAAGAAAAGAATCGAACAAATAAGCATATTATAGTCAAATCTCGAAAATAGTCCTTTGAAATATTTTTGCTTAAGTAACCTTGTGCTAGGAGCCTATTGGGCTGTTTAATCATTGAAGTGTTTGTTCAATCACTTTATTTTATTCTTCTATTCAACTTTTATTTTTCATTCTTATCAGTTACCGATACGCCATCTCTACAAGTTAACTAAAGCATGCCTTTTAAAATGAATTTCTTCTCAATTGCTTACTGCTTTTCACTCATTCAGCTGTAATAAAATTGTTATTTAAGGATAGATAATAAAACTCAGTTGGTCATAAAAGCTTCCATGTGGTTCAGCTCCCATCATCATGACTACGAGAGAAAAGTGTAAACATTATAAAGTATCCCAACGGAAGGAAACTTGACACATTTATCAAACTAACTCATTTCTAACCTCTCACGTCTAAATGTCCCTTTTTGTTCTTTCAAATAACCAGTTTATAGGCTTAATTCAAAGCATAAAAAAGTGACTTTTAACTCCTAAGTGAGTTTTATTCAAAACTTATCGATGTCATTAATAAACCAAATTTACGTATCACTAATGATATGATTTTTAGAAGAAAAGGTTTAGTACACTTCTGATCCTGTAAATTTGGAGATATTTTACTCTCAGAAAGGTGGCGCTTTAGATTTTTTTGGGACATAAACTTTCATTTCCATTTCCTGCTTACTTTATAGTTATAGAAACATCTTTGCAGGGCAAAACTAATGCACGCTATAACCATTGCAATGCTGTCAGGTATAAGCAAAGTCTTTTTAATTTCTCCAATCGTCGTTAGGTAAAATTTGGCATTAAATGGTAATAATAATGATGGCGCAGATGTTAAATAAGAGCGTAATATGGAAAATGTAGCGGTAAAGACAAAATGTAGAAAAAGCGCTTTCGTTATTGGCTAGCATTTAAGTTATGTTATAGAACCTACCCATTTCGAAAGTTTTGCCTTGTCCTTTCTACTAAATTATTAAAATAACAAATACTTAAAATTTAATTTTAACAGGAAAGATGAAATTCTGGAAGTCATAGGTTCGAGATCTTGGATGTAAGATTTTTGTTAATAATAGTAGTTTATATTAATACGAATCAACACAATTAATCAAATGGTGATTCGTACCTCTAATTATTTGCTTTTGAAAGCAGTCTTTTCAAACAACATTAAAGCGTAAATTATTCTAATAAATACTACGATATAAACAAAGAATAAATAACGGGAAGAATTTAGGAGTAGGTTTCATAAAGTCTCTGGTCAGTATTTGGTCAAAAATAAAAATTATCATTTTAAATTTCCATATACAGCGATAGTCATGTTAATGCTTCCACGGGCCTTCACAAACAATTAAAAAGATATTTGCGTTATTAAAGGTAAATTTAAAAAAGATTAAATTAAAAAAACTACTTAAATTTAAGTACTCACATTTTGCCAGAGTCGAGTTTTCGGCATCCATAGACTTCACCAAAACCACCCCGACCAATAATTCTGTGCACACTAAAATCTGCCATGGTTAGCTTTAGGGAAGAAATGGAAAGTCAACGACGAAATGTATATGAGAATAATTTTTTTAAACATAACTTACGGTAGTATTCAATCGCACATCCATCCATTGTAAGTAGCGCGTAAAATGTTTGCTGAAAAAAAACATAAAAGAAAATTGCAACCTACCTTTTCAAAAATGATTCATAGAAAATATCTTTGATGTTTGTCTTCAGAATTTCAAGATAATTCTAAAAGTTTATCAATATAATGGAAAAGTAGAATTACTGAAAAAATGTGTCGCGAAACGGAATTTTGCTTTATTTCTTCGTTTAATTTGTTCTGTACAGTACGAACATATTCCGAAGGAAAGCGCTACAAGAATTTAATTAAATAATATGATATTTACATATTTCTTAGATAGTAATTCTTTCATTATATAGGTGTCATAAATGCGCTTGGCTTCTTTAACTCTTTCAGGTCCAGAGTCAATAAGTTCAAAATCTTTGATCGCTTCATAAAATTCAATAATTTGAACATCAGGCGTGTCTTGAGATTTGCAGAATTTGATAAAAAAGATAAAACCTTTGGAAAACATAACGAAATACGATAGACGTACCTAAGCGTTCTTGAAAAATATTTTCAAACGTTATTTTTCCTTGACGTTTAAGGTATGTCACCATGACGCTGCGAATGCTATTTAAAATGAGCTGATCAACACTTAAATACCTGGAGTCAGGAATCATATTTTTCTTCGGGGCTTTAGTGGCGACTGTTTTGCTTTTTTCCATCGCCATTAAATAGCTCACATCAGCTAGCACGGCTTCGAGATCAGACATTTTATATGTTAATTGATTTAATACATATCGAAAGCTACATTTTATGCATCACCCCGACCAAAACAGAAATTTCACTAAAGTATCAAAAAATTGTAAGAACGCCAATCGAATAGTCTCAACATGCCATTGGTTAAAGTAAACTAATGCGATAATTGGTAGACCCAAGGTTGAAAATAATATAAACAAAATGTCATATAAAAACATACTAGTGGCAAAAGGAAATTATTGAACTAAAACTAGTCAACTTTAGAATATGCTTGAAAGTAGAAATTATATAATATTCAAAACAGACTTTTTTTACCTTGATCGCAGACTAATGTTCTATCTAATTAAAATATTATGTTCTATGAATATTTATTATTTTTAATTAGCATCTGTAATTAAATTGGAAGTGGTAAAAACATTACACGCAAACTTTAATTGTACTGTAAATGAACCGCACTTTTCAAAGTGTCACAAGCATGTGAGTGCTTACGTTCGTTAACTTTTCATAATTTTATTATGAACAGATCACCTCTATTCACGTTATTGATTTTTAGTTGAAATGGATACTCCTTTTATTCAATATGTTAAGAAGGTGTTTGACTCTTGGACTGCCCTTCGCATCGCCGACCAACAATCTACTGCAGGACGAAATACAAAGGCACATATTCAAGCCCTTATTCCCTTTATAAATCAGAACTTGAATAAACAAACTGATCAATTTGAATTAGCTGGATGGTTGGAGGACTACCTCTCTGAGAACCTAAATTTAGAATTGGAAGATGACAGCCAAGATACTGTCGCCGGACTCATCATGGAAGCCTATGCCCTACATCAGGCCGGAAAGAATAGGGAAATCCTAGAGATGATCAGCAAAATCCCCACTGGTTGCGATCTCTCCCAATGTCAATCTCAAGAAGTCAACTGCGAAGTTGACGATGGCGATATTTCTGAAGAAGACGATGGTACTGCAGATGAAGACGATCTTTCTGATGACAATTAGTAAATACCAACTGATCCCACCCTCCCTCACTTTATCTATCGTTGTATAATTTCCTCACCATTGAAAAAAAAACAATTTTGTGGTGGTTGATTATTTGACAAATCTACATATATACAAGTATGTAAGTTGTGTTCTAGGAGGTGCATTTATCCTCTATCTTTTCCTCGGCTCTGAGATAATCCTCAAGTGTTGGGTTTGGGGGAATATCATCTACAGGAATATATGGGCCAGTCAAAGGAAGGCATGGGCGGTTGTCTTGAATTCCAAATAGATTTCTAAGCGCTTGTAAAGCTGCTTCCTTTTCTGCTACATCAATTGTTTCTCCTGGAGCTATGAAGAGTCAGAATAGTATAAGTTTTCCCATTTAGGTACGAATTACTTTGATTAGGAGCCAGCTATGAAGATTTTTCTAAATGACTTACCTTCGCCTATCAGTTGGCGGTCGCTATAGATACCAACTTGATAGCAGGCCAGAAGGGTGTTCATACTGCTTTGTTTCTGTAATCTCGGCTCAGGTGGGCCGTGTTTATAGAAACGCAACACACCCGAAAGAAGTCTGAAAGGTTCGTCTTGAAGGGGGAATGGAAAGTCGCTGCAGAATTCTAAAGTTAGAAGTCGTGTCAATATGAAGTCCCTGACAAAAATGTCTGCAGCCTCCTAGAAAGAAAAGGGAAATACATGGGTAGCCAGGTTAGGCATGAATAATCTGAGGTTCAAGTTGCTTGTGCAGAGAATTCGGGGTCTGGAGTTATCCTAAAGTATTGGTTAGGGCCTCTATCTACCTAAAACCAGATCTTAGAGTGATCAGATGAATTTCTTCGAGCTCATTTAGAAGGACGCCTTCAGAGTTCTCCTTGGGCATTCCATAATTTGCCGTCGCGTAAAATTAAAAATCAGACACGAAGCTCGACGGAAGTGCATCTATGAGTATCGAACACACCACCTCCAACTCAGTAAACGGACGTGCTGAATTCTGCATTTCACCTTTATTCTACTTCTAATTCAGATTATTTTATTTCCTTTAGGGGGGTGCGATAGACTTACCTCCACGTGGTGCACCCTGGGCAACGTACCTTCGTACGGCAAAAAAGTCTATTAACCGGCATTTGATTTCTGACTTCAAATTACCACGACCCCCCTGGTTGTCATATTCGACCCCTTCCACAGAACTCACCTTACCTTTTTCTCTGCCTTTGTGTCTGTCTGCCTCTTTTACATCGGTGAATCGCTCTTCTGTTCCCCACCCCTCGACTTTCTGCTACTTTGATGTTCCTCCTCCCCTCTGTGAAGCCTGAAGTCAGCTAAATGGCTAATGATATCTATCAAAACGCCTGCCA